TGCGCTTCGTGCATTAGTCTGGTAATCCTGTGCATGCGAACTGGCTTTCACATACTCCCCGAGTTTTCCACACTCCAAGGTCTTAAGCCCCCATTTCGTAAACCCCCATTGGAAGTCTCTCAAGTATTCCTTAAATTATAGTAGGATCCTTAATATGATTTAAGGTATATGCCTTAATTAAGGGATATTGGAGTGTCTGGGAAGGGTTCGCGGAAGCAGGGGCCACTATAAGAGTTCCTAGAGGGGTTCGTACGAGAGGTCATAAAAGCGTCCTATGAGGACGTTATAAGGGTTACAAGCAGGATTTTTGTGAGGGTTACAATAGTGGCGTCAGTTTAAGCCAGTAGTGGCAAGAGAGTACCAGCAATCGGAGACTGATACTGCATCAGGAGGAGAGCTAGTACTTACGAGAGAGACTTGCCAACGTCGTCGCAAGTGTAATCGCAACAACGATGATTCTGCCTAGTAGGAAATAGGTAATGGTTAGCCAGTTATCCGTGATATTGATAGTAGACCCTAAACCCTAAACCCCAAACGCTAAACCTTAAACCCTATGATCTAATATTTGTTGCAAAGCAACTCCCTCTTCGGCGATCGCTTGTCTACTGCGCCTACGCGCGCACCAAACATTTTCCAAATGTACAGTAAGACAGTCGGCAGCGCTTGGCACTCCTAAAAAAAAGATCTAATATTAGTAGCAGCTGAGAAGTTCGTCGCTCGGCTGCAGGACTGCATCGACGCCTACTCGGTGGAAGCCCTTGAGAATTCCCAGGACTTCAGCCACAAGGTGGCCTGCTGCTCTAGGGGCTCGAGGGTCCTTGGGGGGGTTTAGGGTTTAGGGTTTAGGGTATTCTACTTGGAGGATCATGGGACTTGGTAAGTAAGGTTAGAAATAGGGTAACTATACTTATAAGTACTTATGACCCCAATTAGGATACTTATAAGTACTTGTGACCCCAATTAGGATACGTATAAGTTCTCATACCCCCAATTCGGATACTTATAACCTGACTTACAAAGTCCCATGATCCTCCAAGTAGGAGGAGCCAAGGTTCAGAGTCTATGTCTAGGGCCTTGTGTTTATCAGGGTCTGGGGTCTACGGCCAAGCGTCGAGGGTCTAGGGTCCAGGGTTAGGGCTTCGGGTCCATCCGAGAGCTTGTAGCAGGTGGGCCCATGCGCCTTGATGTTCTGCAGTCTGGATTCAGCCAGGTGCAAGAGGCCACTGCGCGAAGCCGAGCGCGACAACAAGAGGCAGGGGACGGGCTGTGAACCTTCACCCGGTATGCTGAACCGCCTAACTCGAAATATCTCAACCCCTTGATGTATGAAGGGAGTTTTGAAATTAGGGGTACCGCCTTCAGGGGCCCTTATGTGTAGTCTCAAGGATCATCGTTTTGGGGTATAACCATACTATTAATCATAATTATCTTCGTTTAAGGACTCGGGAACACAGACCTTTCCCTTGCACCTCCGACGCGTCCCGCGTCCGCAAGGCCAAAGGCAAAAAGACCGTCCAAAGCTCGTGAAGAGCCTTGGCCCCGGCCCAAAGAGGCCGGCGGGAGGTGAGGTGGAGGGTGGGTTTAGGTGCAGTTGAGGCTTCAGGGGCTTTAGGTTTAGGCTCAGTTTAGGCTTCACGGGCTTTAAGGTTTCAGGGTTTAGGGTGTCGGTTGAGGGTTAGGTTTGGGCTTTGTCGTTTGGGTTTGTTTTGTAAGTCAGAAAGGTGAGGAGCACATTAACTGGGATTACAAGCAGTTTTACGTTGTATTTAGAGTTGCCTTGCTGACAACCTCCATTTACGAAGTTCCTCTTAGCCCCTCAGTTTCCCCGACCCGCAAAGCCCCCAGCCCCTAAACCCTAAACCCCGGTCCCCAAAAAGTGTAGCCCAGGTGTTTACATGAAGTTCGGAAGCCTCAGGCTGACATGGCCTCTCCACACCCTCTGTTGCCCGACTCCAGAAGTGAGCCCGACACGCCGAAATGCTGGCGGATCGAAAAAGGAACTGCTGGTTTAGGGTTTTCGGGTTTAGGGNNGGTTTAGGGTTTAGGGCTTGAGAGGCTCAGGGTTTAGGTGAGGTTCCCTTAGTAAGGAAGGCAAGCCGCCTGGTGGATTCCTTCTGTTTGACCACTGCCGATTTTGGGGGGTTTTCGGAATTTGGCATGGGGAGGCTTCTCCCTTACAGCGTCTCGCAAGCCCTAGTCTATACTTGGATGTGTATCTTACTATATTGTACTATGTCATATTCTTGTGTAATCTTTTATGCAATCTTGTTAGATCTGATACGACCTTATGTATGTTATCTCACTACGATCTTATAGTGGTCTTGTACCATCTCACACTATATGGCACTCCAAAAAACCATTCCGGCGCAACCCTAAAC